GGGTAAGGCTGTAGGGGGTTCATATGCGATGAAATTATTGTAAGCAGAGAGGCTGAAGTATCCAAAAATTCTTACATCACAAAATCCATGATTTTGACCTGAGTGTACCCACCCCCACCCAGCCCTTAAAATAAAGTTGAGATTTGTAGGAATAAAATGGAGGTTCGATGGGTTGTGTTATAATGGGGTGGGTTATGTGGGGTTAATATGAAGGTGAGTGTGTTGTGTTCAAATGGATGTGGGTTGTGTGGGGTTTAAATGGAGATGGGCTGTTTTGTGATACTATGGAGATTTGTTATGGTGTGTTAAAATGGATTGTGGGTTCTATTGTGTTAGAACGAAGTGAGTCTTGTTGAGTTTAAAAAACAAAAACAAAATGGGGTGTGCAGTGTCAAAATGAAAAGTTGTGTATAAGACTAATGTTTAGGCTACTAAAATCGAGTGACACTGTGTTGTCCACAGTTACTTCGTAAAGTTTAAAAACACATTTACTCCACTTTTAATTTTTTAAAGCATCTTTGTGTGTAAGTTTTGAAGTACTTACTCATTGGATTAAGACGATTGAAAAGAAATATTTGTCTATAAAGTATATATTATAAATAATGTGGCAGGTGCACGCATTGAAATGCATGTGAAAGTGCACCTCTAAAATGCATGAAAATATTTCGCGTTTCTGAAGATTTGAGGAACTTGTCGTTTCTGGACTACTTTGAGTCATTGTGTTTTTCTGAAAGCTGGGATTTTCCTGATTATTAAATTTTAGCTTAAAATATTTCGATCATTTTTCTACAAGCTGACTTTTTTTGCATTTTGAAGGTACAAAAATCGAGAAAGAAAGAGCTGAGAAAAACGTTCAAAATTGCATCATTATTTCTATCTGATATCGAAGTGAAAATGGAAAATAAACTGAGGAACAAAATGTTGTAAATTTGTTTTGACAAGCAATAGCTCTTGAATTGTGTTCTAAATTGGTGTGCATAAATCAAAATCGACCAGATTGATCTCACCCACTATTTCTGCCGATATCTCGGTTTCGAGATCTAGCGACAAGTTCCTGATTTCAAAAGATCAGCTTACATGATTATTATTTTCTTATCAAATTATTATTATTATTATTATTATTATTATTATTATTATTATTATTATTATTATTATTATTATTATCATTATTATTATTATTATTATTATTATTATTATCATTATTATTATCATTATTATTATTATTATTGTTATTGTTTATATGTTGTTGTAGTTGTTTTCCAATTTTTGCAAACGTACATAATAATTTTATCATACACATTACACGTTAAGCTCTTTGGAGGACAGTTTTGCAAAATATTATGCAACCATTTTCCCAATATTCTTTGATTGGTATAATTAGGCTCGCTGACACATTTTTTGTTATCTTTCTTTTCACAGGCAGTTGATAGTTATGGTGTTGCCATGATCACTGTTGTTGCGTCTATCGTATTTTGTTTGTTGGTTGAGTTGCCTCTGAAAAAGCTGATTGGGCTGTTGATAAAAAGATGAAATTTTAATGTGATTTCAATCTATTTGGAAACTTCAAGTCCAACCGACCGTGCATTGATTCTGACAACATTCATTCAAGAGAGACTGATCTTCTTTCCATTCTACAAAGGAAAAGTGGTCTTCCATTGCCTATATTACCTTGAGGGCTGTTTTCGTGTGAGAGAAAGTAAAGCTTTTCAAATCAGCATCTTACAAATTTACTGAAGCACTAATAATTCTTCTTTACGAACAGCAGATAGAGTATAATGTATAATGCATTTCATTTTATCACAACTTATAATATCAACATTAAAGTAGTGTGTCCTTTTCGAGAATGTGATGCAGCAGTGTATTTCTTATTTCTGGGTCAACTTATTTTTACCATACTTTGTTATAACATAGCATTATATCCAATTTCTAGTGTGATTATTGAATCAGATGTAGCGCTCACCTCTGGTAAAAAAAACTTGAATGAAAACGTGATTAGAGCCCTTAGTACAGGGAAGACGAGATTAATGCGTCAGGTAGAAACTATAACAATATGTTGCTACCAAAAAAAACGCACAGAATCCAGAGAATTACACATTTTAAGG